TCACATGAGGGCATGCAAATCCACTTTTGGTCGTCCTTCTTCCATAGGTCCTACCAGTCACTCTCTTGCCCCGTAGGATTTGTCTGCGATCTCCCTGGTTCAAGTATTTCATTCGACCCCTGCCACGCCATCTGTGCTACTTGAGTCGTTATTTCACACACTCTGCCTGTAGAACACTAATTTGAGGCCAAACCACATAAGCAATTTTCATGATCAAGCCTTTGCTACATGGACCACGTCTATTGTCAGACTTAGGAAAGGAGATCTGCGTAACAATATGACAGAATCTGACCAACATTCCCATCATAAGGGTGAAAATGGGTGAGAAAGTCAGTGTGAAATGTGGAGAGTGGAAGGCGGAAGAAGAGATACCACGATTGTTTAGCAGAAATTTGGTCAGAGCATCGGTTTCACTTGTCTCTTTGACAAGTGGAGGTGTGGTGCTAAGACTGGCAAGTCTCACTGACGATGCCGGCGAAACGTCTGGGAATGTACCAAGTCCACGGTCCGACTCTTGAAATTATTATGCAAGGAATGGACTCTAACCTAGGTGCGTTCCTCCTTACCTAGAGTTTGATCATGTTACGAAAACAAGATCAAACTACTTCTATACAGCGATAGGAGACTGCGATCACAAAAAGTTATATAAGCTTGTTGTTCATACCTTCGAATAAGAAATAATGTCCATTATAAAAAAAATAGTTAAGAACTAGGGCTTAGATCTAAACAAACAACCGTTTTATACGTAGTTACTACGGGCGATTACAGCAAATAAATAAAATGTGAATCAAATTAAAACCAGTTGGGATGAATCCGTTTAAGGAATGTGCCCTAAAGTAGGGAATATATATTCAAAATAAAACACGATTTGTATAAAATTTGGCTTGTAACCCACACATTTCAGATATCCGGCTTAATAGCAGTGTGCAAAATATGAATAAAATAACCAAGGCAAGAAAGCATGAAGAATATCTCAAAGCAACTATTTTTCAATTCGCAGTATGCAGCAAATTTATGGAAATAAGTTTTTAGCCATATCACTGTAAACTTTATAAATTAACAAATTCTTAAGTAAGAATTTTTAGCTCGTGATTAAATTAACTGATTAGATGGCCGAACGCACACTTTATTGTCGAGCAAATATACATTTAAGAGCTAAGACTAGAGATATTAACAATTACCTTATCCAATTGCTCAAAATAAGACTGTATTGAATCTCCGGAGACTCCTTTGGACTTTCGATTACTTCGAGGGCCAAATAGGAAATTCTTAAGATCGGGCCATCGATTTAAAAATGCATAAAACCATGCTTGACTAGGGTTAAGATATTTGAAGGGCGCAATTCTTCCAACAGATTTTGTCATATCTCCAGCCAGTTCAACGACCTGGAATGGGGATGGAAATAATAATTAATATTTTTATGATGGTAAAAGCTGAAAATTCAATTATGGATCTGACTTGATTTCTGGTATATGGATATCCAATTTTGCTCATAAATAAAATGTGATCAACCATTTTTTTTTCTTCCTCAAAAGTGAAAAATGTTGGTGGACCTGGTCTGGAGCATTCCAAACTGACCCTTCCGTGAACACGATCTCTTAAAGTCGACTCTGGGACGTTAAAAGCAGTTGCAGCCCCTCTTAGTGACATTCCCTGATATTTTACAGCGTTATAGGCATTAGTCATATCCCTTTGAGTCCATCTACGCCTTCGAGACTAAAAAAATATATACAAAGTAAGCATACCTTGGCGCGATGTAAAGGTGATCTTCCAGATATAGGATCAAAATTAGGATACATGAGAACTTGTTGCTGGTAATCACATGGGTCACCAGAATAGGCCATATCTAGCTCATCCTGATCATCGCATTCCATTGGCTCATCTGATCCAGAATACTCTTCCTCCATAACAATATTATCAAATGCCATGACTATACAAAAAAAA